AAAAAGAGGGGGGCCGCCTGCCGTAGCGAGGAGCTCCCTGACACAAGGGGTGGGACCAGGGTAACCTCACTGGAGCAGGGGATTCAGCCCCCCAGGGAGGGACACAAGGATCCCCAGGAGCTCCTGCAAGGCTCCCGGTCTATGCACAAGCTCAGCAGCTCTGACCACCCTGCAAGCAAAGTACTGACTGCAAGTCCATAGCGGGACACAAGAGAGGGAGGTAAGCAAGAGGAGAAGGGTGACTTTTAGAGAGCGAGTCCTGCACCTGGGGCTGGAAGCCTCGTCCACTCATCCAGGCCCCAGCACAGGGATCCTCAGAGTGGGTTTCATTCTGCTGGCAAAGATTAGAGACAAAATGCTACAGCTCTGGGACATTCTTGCCACCGGTCCCTCTCCAGAGCTTGGACAGAGCTGAAGTCAAGTCATCTCATCAAATAAGTTAAGAAAATTCAAATGCATGTTTCAAAGAAAACTGGTTTCTTTTAGCTAGAGCTGCAAGACGCGTATCTTTTGACTTAAATGCAGTGGCTCAGGACTTCAGACTGTATTTCATTCCTGGGAATCTGACTGTCTTGGAGCAACATAATTAACGTTGGTGAGCAGGCAGGGCATGTGCAGGTTTGGCAATCAGGACTGCCAAATCCTGATTCCTCCTTTCCCAACATATCCTACAAAGTTAGTTTCAACCAGGAGTGTTTATTCCCAGCATTTAACACATTCTGATTAAAATAGATCCAGGAAAAAACTGACATCTCCAGTAAATATTGCACTTCAAGATTAATGTGTGTGTTGATATTAAGGACTGAAAGCAGAGACTGACATAAGACTTCCAGGCATAGCAGGTTAGCATCAAGAGCAATGGTCCTGAAAAGGATTTTAAAACCAGATTAGTTACCCAAGAAGGGACAAGCCGCAAGTTTAAAAAATTAGTACATTTTAATGCTAGTGCTCCGTGAAAAAGCCAACCCCTGTTGCAATTCCACCACTGCTGAAATGTCTCTGTTCTCCGCAGCATTGTAAAACGCCTTCAGATGGGAAGGATCTGCAGGAAAGACAGCAGGAGCAGAGGTTCTCTCCTAATGCACAGACAGATTTAGTACCAAATGATCCAAAAGTACATGGTAAAGAGGTGACTGGAGCTAGGGCTCTCAGGAATTAAAAGCACACACACGCACACACACACACTCACACTCTAACCAACCCTAAACCCCTGATTCCAAACCCCAACAGAAGAGTTACACCTGAAGGGAGTCATCGTGGTGGCTCTGCACGTGGCTGGTGTGTCAGGGTCCCAGTCAGACTGGCTCCTTGGACCTCACATTTGGAGGGCAATTTCTGTGCTTTTTGACTTGCTAATTCTGGTAGCCATGAAAGACAGCCACAACTAAATTGGCACATACGGAGCATCCTCATCTGTCAGCAAAAAAAAACCTCTTCCCAGCCACGTTGGACTGGGAGAGAGGGGGAAAAAAAAAAAATTAAATAGAGAGGCTGCTTTTTGCAGGTGAGTATTTTTATCCCAAACAACTGGAAGATACATCCCTGAATGTGTTGCCCAGAGAGCTTTCAAAGTCTCATCCGTTAGAGATCAGAGATGGGGACCGGGGTGGGGCTGGGGTTTTGACAATGCAGTAACGCTCCACGGTTCCAAGCCGCACACGCACACACACACACTACACAGCGTATCCCTGAAAATCCACGGGCTGCGAGGTACCCTCCAAGCGCTGTCCATCAGAAGCCAGAGCGAAGAATTACTCCTCAGAAAAGTCTCTGTCAATGTCCATATATGCCTCGTCGATGTAGCTAACTATGGCACAGGGGGATGTCCGGTCTGGACTGAGCAGTATAGATACAGTCTCTTTCCAGTAGGTAAAACTAATACATGAGCTCTGTGGGAAGAGATGAAGAGGCTGGTTAGCGTGGTCCACAGGCACCAACATGCAGCAGACGACACATCCCAAAGGCGTTCAGCAGAGAGAACTGAAAATCGCTTCCTATTCAGCCTGACTTCCCCAGCCACACAGCTTCACACCTCTGATTCACCACTCGGCCCATCCTCCCGATGGGGAGCAGAAGGGGTGGACGCTGAACCAAGTGCACCTTCTACAACCAGCCTCCCACTACCCAGCCTCAGGCAGGGGCTCCCAGCACCTCTGGCTGCTATAGCCCTGCTAAGAGCAGCACAGGGTGACCACCACCTCAGCAAGCCTGCGTGGGCCAGCAGGCAGGGCTGCTCGTGAGCAGTACACACACACACACACGCTCAAACGTCTCCTTTGCTGTCCAGTCCAAACACAAACTGGGACACCATGGTGCTGCAGATCAAGCCAATGTTGGCAGTAGCTCCTACTCCTAGGGGAGACACAAAGACAATACACCCCCCCTGCTCGCATCCCTCCTGCATCATTCTCTTAAGGCCAAAAGGCCTCTCTGGCAGCCCTACACCACATCATGTATTACACAAAGCCTTTACACACTGGACAGGTGAGTATTTCCACCCCACCAGTGGCCCAAGACACAACAAGTACCGTAGCGTGCACGCACAGCACAACGCAACCCTGAAATGCAGCAACAGCAGAGAGCTTTAGTCTCGGCAGCATCTCCCCTCCGCAGCCCAGCGCACCGTGGACGCGTCAAACCACGGCATGAACGTCGCGACACAGTGCCCAGGTGTTGCAGGCCCCAAGACACCCTGCTGCTCCCCAGGTCTAACTGACCCAAGCGTACTGCGCCAAAAAAGGCTGAGACAAAAGTGTTGCAAGTCTGCACCCTTCACTGCACCTTCTCCTTCCCACACGGACTCCCTCCATTGCACTCCTCCTCTCTGGGGAATTGAAGCTCCTTATTTTAATTGCTTCCAAGCCCTAATACTGCCCCTCTTTGGGTACCTTATCTATAGGAGACTGGCTGCACTGCACTCACATCACAGTCGTGGGGCTGTGCGCTGCAGTATACGTGCAGACAACAGAAGGGATTTTCCGCGAACACATGAAAAATCTGTTAAAGCTGCCACCCAAGCACTGAAAAGTCAAGGAAGAAACCTGTGCAATCTCACTTTAGCCTTCTAGGGCATATACAAGGGAGTCACCTTCTCATCACAGGTCATTTCTTCCTCTTCTCAGGGCCCAAGACAGACCAGCTCTGGAGTGGAAACCTGCAGGCTGCTTTCCACAGGGCAGCTGCCTTGTCTTCTAGCAGCTACGCCAGATACTTTTCCCGCACTGCTTGCCACACCAGGAAGAGAGGAGACAGTCTAGTTAAGGTGCTAACTAGTCTGGGAGCTGGATTCTGTCCTGTCTCCATGTCCCTGTCTCTCAAACCTGCTCAGCACTGGCAAGTCTCACTTCTGTGTGCCAGAGCCAAGACCTAAGGTCTTAAACAAGGGAAACCCAGCACCTACCCTGTGATAGTCTGACTGCTTGCAGAAGGGACCTGACTGGGTAAGACAGTGTGAAAAGCACTACATAAAGTTACACTGGGGAGCAGAACTTGCTCCCTTCTTTCCCTTCACAACCTCTCACTTCCCATTTTTGCTAGGTTACTAGTAAGCAGACATTGCTATGATTGATTCTTGCTATGGTAAGAGGTTCACATACATTTTCTAAGCAGGTGCTGTCTTTATCCTTGTTGAGGTAATGCTGTTGCCAGAATCGCAGGAGACTGTGGAAGTTGTTCAGGATGAAGCCTGGGTATTTTTCTGTATATTCCATCTGTTGCAAAGTGCGCAGATAAAAAGGTAGCTTTTCTTTCCTTCGGGCCAGCATTAGGATAACTAAACTTGTGTTCAAACAACTGACATTTTCCTAGAAGTAAAAATGACACAGTAGGTCAAACAACAACAAAAAATAGAGACGTAGGTTGTACACATCCTTACAAAACGTGCTCATGGTAAGCATGCAGAGGAGGTGCTCCTACATGTATCAAGAAAGAAAGGACAAGGGTCCCCTCAAAAGAAGCCAGTTCCTCCCTGCTCCCAGCCCAGTTCATCACTACAACAGCATCAGCAAGATAACTGCAAAGTTACTCTCAGCTCTTTACCTGTGTAAGTGTCTGTACATGAATAATATTAATGAGACGGAAAAGAAAGGACATTCTCATGGACATCTGGGACATATACGATAACAGGCGGCACTCTGACAAGACTTCTGCAACTGCAGCAAGAGGAAAAAGACAATCATCAGGTGCTTAAAGTTCAGACACATTAGTCCAAGCAATATGGCAGTAAGAACTGGTGCTCAGACTGTAGCAACAAACCTGCAAGGTGGCATTTCTCTGCCTAAACCCAAAATTTTCAAAGCCCAGACTTAAAATAATCATTATCACTACCAAACACACAGCCCCCCCCATTTCTTATTCTTTACCTTTAGCATCAGACTGATTCTCAAATCGGTCCAGGGACAGCGTAATGCAGCGAACAAGCATGTTTGAGTCAACCAACGAACTGTTGATCTGATTTAAAAAGACCTGGAACTAAAGAGAAATACTTTTTAGTGTTGCATTAAAAAACAAACAAAGAAATTCATCCTACATGAACACTCATAGATGAGGTCTAACATTCCATACCCTTTTCAGAACGCGCATGGCCAAGAGTTGTACTAAGCCAATTACTCTGTTGGCACAAGGGGAACAGGTCAGCGAACCCAAGTAGGAAGGACTACGAACAGGGTTTGGCGAGTAGGGCAACAGTAAGTGTTCTCCAGATTTTCGACATTGAAAGAGTACAGTTCTTGAAGGTTACTGGATTCTGAACACAAGCCCCTAAAATGCGCACTTCACGAACATAAGGCTTCACAGACATGGACAATTTCCCCTTCCCCTTCCCTTTCCAATTAAGAGTTAGGTTCTGAATGCCAAAATACTCAGAGTCATTACCTTTTTGTTATCTCTAACAAGAATAAGAGGAGATATATACTCCCGGGCCTGCCTCATCCAGTCCGAGCCAATACTGGCACTGAGGGCTGACCAAAGGATTCCTATAGCAAGTACCTTAAAAACACTACAGAACAGAAAAATGCCTAAGTCCTGGCACCACTAATATCTCTTTTGAAGCTGTGTCACTTCAATGAGACCAAGATTTCATACACTATTTCTTATGAAAGAGGGAGACGAGAAAGCATGGCTGCTGGCCTCTGTAGTTCCTCCAGCTCCGTGTTTTCCTACACTTATTTTGTACAGCAGACAGTGCTAGGGAGGGATACAGTGAGGGACTCATACAGAATGAGAATTAAAAAAAATTACAGATCAATAAATAGGAAGCACACACAAAGTATAAAAACAGGTTCTCTAGAATGTGTGAGTTCATTTACCAGAAAGCAACCTGAAATTAAATACATTTTTCTTTTAAATACATCTCTGCTTCTATTCTCCAAGGTCTGCCAGACCTAACAGCAACCAGAGAAAAACTACAGTAACATAAGAGTATGAGGTCATTCAAAACCTACCCAACAGCTGATGTTATATGCATGAAGTGCACAAGAGCATGAAACCATTTTGCATAGAGAGCTGCCCATTCTTGATCTACATATGCAACTAAGTTTTATAGGTAATTACATCAGCTATGACTTCTTAAAAGCCTGTAAGTTCAAATAACATCAAAGATAAGATATGTCCTTTTGCAGTACCAAATATTAATGAATATTTTAAGTCACCTCCATGAAGAGCCACCCCCCAAACTCCAGTAAAAGATTTTTTTGGAGCCTGTCTCAATGTCCACAACTATCAGCTTAACCCAAACCCCAGTGACTTCACAGGAAATGTTCATCTTTGAGCTCTGACCTTAGACCTGCCTGATCATGTAACAGAGCAATGTTTTCTGAACAGCTCAGCACTTGCTGACTCAGAACAGCTGGGAGCACTTCTGAAAACATGAGTGTATGCAGCAACATACATGCTTGTGAAGAGACTTTGGCAGCTCACTCCTTAGTGTTTGCTGTGCACCAAGCTCAACAATCACCCCAAAATCAGCAAATGAATCTGAGTTTCTTAGTGCTACGTTTGGTTATAAGAGCATGTAATTTGACCCACTGGGGACAGCTTTTATAAATATTTACCTTCTCATCTGTGTTGATGTACTTGTTGAACCTCTTGAATGCATCAATATTGAATTTCATCAGTTCTCCCAGAAGGTCAAAGTAACTCTGAAGCACATCTCGTGATTTGCACTCACTATCAACAATGCAGTAGAGAATATGCTGGCATGGGAGGAAAACATGTTATTGCCACAGTTTAGCCCAAGCCAGCAGTACAGCAGAGACTCTGGTTTAATCACTACTTATTTATCTGCGGGTTTAGTTCTTAGATGACAGAACTAAAGACAACAATTCAGACGAGTCTTCCGTTAAATTAGCTTCTCAGTGATGCAGGCTATAGAACTGGCCACCCCACACCTGGGTGTGTGCCAGTGTATGTGCCACAAGCAGAATTCACAAATACTTTTCAAAAATTGCCCTACTCCCAGTGAATATTTAACACTACATTTTTACCCCCTTTTGAATTCATTACAGATAAATCCTTCTTGATTGCTACAGAGATATGTTACAGAGGAAGCTTGACATATACTTCATTACCTCCAGGAGTCCTCTCTTTAGCAGGAACATCTGGTCTGCATAGGAGGTGGTGCCTCGCAGAAAACTTTCAACTGCCCTTGCTTGCCAAAACCTGAGGGATAGAAGAAATGAGGTTTTAATTTTGGAGTAAGGGGAATATTTTACCACAACTGTAATTTAAATCAAATTTTGTAATCAGTTTCGTTCCAATCTGAAGCTGGATTCAGACCTGTTGGATCCTGCACAAAATCACTGACTGTACTGGGTATGCAAGCTTTGACATTCTCCCTCACCTGCACTGCCACTGTAGCCAAGTGCAACAAAGCCAGATCTTTTCACAGCTTATGACTTCCAAGCATTTTCAACTGCTGTAAGCTGTATGAAAACAAACCGACTTCCCAGTCAACTCAAAACAGCGTGTTACAGTGCAAAGTGAACCCACCTAAAGGAGGATTCAGCTGGTTCCTTCTTCATGACCTGAAGCAGTCTGGTCAACAAGCCTCTCTTCCCATCACAGACAAGACTCCTAGAGCATGTGAAGAAATTACAGCATGAGTGGAAGGGCTGGCAAGCACTGTACCTTGTAGAACATTGAATCCAGTCTCTTCTTCAGAGCTTTTAATGATCAAAATCATAGTATTAAATATACAGTACAAATATTAATTAACTTTCATTACTAGTTCTACCCGTGGAAGAGTTCTCCTTACTGCCTTTGGTAAATGTCTGTAATACCTGCAACATGACTTCCAAATAAATCCTTAAGAAAAATTATTTATTTTTTCTCAAAATTATAATGATTTCAGAAATACCAATTCACAGCTTGTAGGGCTTAAGAGATTAGAAAAAACGCATATACCTCATTTGAGCTTAGGAATGAAAGAAAACCATGCTTTTTTTGCTCAACAAACATATGGAAGCCCTTTAGGAGGCAGAGTATGGAAACCTAGGTCCTACATGAGGTAGCCTTCTTCTGCATGTGCTAGTAAAAGTATAGAGGCTGTAGAACTGCAATACTACTTGTAGTAAATAGCATCTTCAGTGGAATATCTACTTTCAGTAAGCTCGTGCAAAAGCAATGCCTTGATCTCCTCATGTATTAAAAAAAGCAACATGGAAATGAAATGCTAAGGGTGGAAAAGAAACCCATTTTAGGCCAGAAACTGAGCAATGCTGCCTGTCTGGCTACACAAACCACTCTGCAGAGGTAGAGTAAGATGCTTCAAGCGGCACTCTTCTACTCAGAAAACACCCCAGCATGCATATTCAGCAAATGCACCCCGGTTAATGGCTACGTACTGTATCAGCACCTTTGCTGGGCAGTCAATTGCCAGCTGACAAAGCCCTTGTGGGAGGTAGTTTTCCTGCAGCTTGATAGTCTGTTCTTACTAACACTTGAGAGAGATCAGAAACTTTGCAGGTTGGAAAAAGCTGTTTACACCCTCGATCCTCTTCCTTTCAGTGTGCTCCTAATAGGGTGAATTTTTCCCCCAAATACTTATTCCTTTTTGAACAAAGCCAGAAAGGTACCTGTGCTTAGAAGGAAAGGATCTGAGTAATACAGACACCATTTATTCCCAATTAGGCACAGTATTATGATAATAATTATAATCTAGAAATCCTCTTAGAGAATTCCCTTTTGAAGCGAGGTAAATCTGCTCTGTGCAGACCAAGTCCCCGCTGATACTCTGGGAGTATTCTGACAACTAAATTCTGCAAACAATGTTTCATCTTGTGAGGTCTGTACATCAGAATCACATATTAGAGAGCTTATTAAATCAAAATAGTCAATCTAACAGATACTTAAATATAACACTAGAGATTCTGTAAGTGGTTTAACATGTTAATCTAATTTAGCTTATTCAAGTTATTAGCTGCTCTTAAAATAAAGACTGTGAGCAGATACACTTAGATCTGTTTATGCAGACTGCAAATGGACATTATGTGTGCACAGACTGCTCCTGAACCTCAAAACTAAGATTTATTAGTAGCAGCAATTCATGCATTAGAGGGATCCCAGTTTAATTTCCAGGTCTGTCTGCAATGTCTGTTGTGAGAAAGGCCAGACAAACAGGCAGACCTAGCACATCATAATGAAGTCTGGGCTACGAACTCAAAACCCCCGTTTTAGGTTGCTTTTGTTTTTACAGTGGCTCACTCTGAGCACAAGCACACTTTAGATTTGCTAATGACCATAAACATCATACAAACCTAGACACTTTCTGCTGAAACACATCACTGAAATTAAAGGAAGTGAGGTGGACAGAAGGACCTCAAACGAAACAGGTGACACCAAACCTCCAATATAAGCATTTGCAAAATGCTAGAAGCTGCTGACCTAAACCCTCTATCCCTACTCACCTGTCTGTGTTGACAACTGCATCAACTTCAGGGATGTTGGCTTTATGGGAGATTGCACTCAGCTCATTAAGTTCTTGGCTGTTTAAAAGGAGATACTTGTTCCTAAAGCAAGACAGTTGGGGAACAGGGGAGAAAAATTTGATGAATTCAAGAGGCAGTAAACATGCAATTCCATTAAGAGTAAAGCCACATGCCTACGAGGGCTGCAGGACTAGGCAATCAGCTTTCACCTCTCCAGCTCTTCACAGCCGTTCACAGCCATTTCACTCTCCTCCACCACAGCACACTCCCAAGCTAGGCCAACTAGCTGCTGTTTTATAAGCTAAATTTGCCAAATGCAAGTTTCAACACTGGCCACCTTCGAGATGCCGGTTCTTTGCTGGCCTGTTCAGGATCTTACAGTTTGTTTTGTGAATATTTGCTGCCAGATGGCACTCATTTTTGAAAATCTCAGCAACATTTTGCTGAATTTCAGCAGACTTAAATAGCAAACTTTTCACAGCTTCCTACAGTCTTTCTCTGCCATATAGTGACTATGCTCTTTGTCAGTAATAAACCTCAATTAGAAAGCAGAAACTGCAAAAAAGTACTCAATCATCCTGGTATTTTATTACTCTGAAAATATTTTAAAACTTTATGAAATGTAGAAAACAAAACAGGAATGGATATAAACCCACAGAATTTGCATTAAATGCTTTATTCAAATACCGAACTTTTCATAATGAAAACCAATTTATCTGTAAAATAAATTAAATGCAGAACAAGTCTGATAAAGCAGAAATGTAGTCCAGAGGCTCACTTTGACAAAGACTCCCTGCTCAATGTCAGTGTGTTCCCTCAGAGCCCTCCTACTTCAAAGTGCTCAGAATCAGACAGCAAAGATTTATTTACAGGAAACCTAAGGGAGCATAGGATGCTGTGGTGAGTGTGAGGGTGTGCAAAGACAACCTATTCATCAAAACATAGCAACTACACAGAGGATAAATTATTAGACCAGAAAGGTGATGGGGATGCCGTCTTGCTTCAAACACTATCTTCCAGATTAGTGCCCACTGAGGCTGTCATGTGAAGCTTCTTTTGATCTGGATCAACAGGTTTCTGTAATGAAAATACAGCCTCTCTCTCCATGCAATGAACAGTTCTGCAAGTTTGGTTTATACACAATTTTACTGAAGTTAATGTTAGTATGTAAGTACTTGCTCTCATCCTGTCCTCAGCTAACTCAGCTTATCTGTGATTTCATAGAAAGTTCATGTAACTATTTGTTTAAAAACCCTAATCAGATTCCACACATTCCACTTGCTCAAATGCTACAGCTGAAAGCTGTTTTCTGTTTAAAGAAGCCTGAGATCTTCATAGTAACCACTTAAGTAGGAACATCATCTAAAGAGATTTTATTGGAAAACCTGCGGTGATTCCTGGGCAGTGTCTTGCATGGAGGATTTACGTTAGGTGAGCCTTTCCCTTATGTTTACAATATGTTCAGCGGGTCCCCATTCTTAAAGCTAATACTTCCCAATCGGAAAGGCTGATACTTTCAACATGCATATCTAACAGTACTACATAAAACCTACACAAAAATATCACCCCGGCTGTAGATAAGACCAGCTACGCAAGAAGTGAAGGCATATACATATTTAGTGCAATATGCCTCAAATGCAGATGTTTCTAAAGAATAGGAAACCATCTTGCAGGACTGAATTAGAGCAACAGGACATTGACAGAATGCAAGATGTGATTCTGCAAGTCAGAACAGAGCAATGAGTATCTCGGTACCAGCAGAGGAGGCATGCTTCTTGAGTAAAAGCATGAAAAAATAAAAATAAATAGATCAATAAAAAAATCTGCATCACACCTCAGCTACTCCAGCAGACTCAAGCTTTATAAGTATTCCTTTTGAAGGCAAACAGAAGCTTTCTTCCTATTTCCAACCTAGGTTCCCAATGGCTAGCTGACAGATAATTGTTCCCCTAACATCTTCCCATGCAGTTTAATCAGGTCTTCTCCATTGCTGGCATTTAGACAGCAATCACGTCTTCCCAATGTTTTTAAAAAAGCAAAAGAATATTGATTAACCCCTTCAGAGGTACGCTGTCTTTCACCCTGATCTTCCAACAGCCTTTGTTTCATGCTTGTTCCACTCTGAATTAAACCTGAACATGTCCCCACAGGGTACATGTGCTCTTCAGAGCCTACTGGCTCACTACCAACTCTCAGGGAGAAGACAGATAAACAGCATCATGAAAGCTGCCTCTTTATTTCTTCAGCCAGAAAGTGTTAACTCATCACATAAATGTTTCAGTTCGTTTCAACATGAAGCAAAATGGGCTATTTTTAATCATCAACAGACATACTAAGACATGCCCATCGGATAGCATATCCTTAGCCTTTTCGTAGCAGGAGTTGAAAGGCACGTGAATATCTGAATCGAGTTTAAGGACAACACAATGCTCCATTCACATGGAGCCTGCACCGTGCCTAGGACACCCGCTGTAACTGCAACCAGGCAAACAATGCCGTCGAGCCACAATCTACCACAGCCTTTCATACTCACTCATGGTGATCACTAAAGCTCTGCAGAAGCCTCAAGAACTGTATCTTTAAAGTAATGTCCTAAAAAGAGACAAGAAAGGTCAAAAAATTTTGCTTTAGTATTTTTGGGTATCATTAGTTACCAGGCTGACATGAAACAGTTGAATCGAAAATCTATCCAAATCAAACCCATTTGGACAGCAGAGCAAGTGACTTGCATAAATGGAGAAGGCTGCACTTTGCAGGCTTCCCAAAATAGAAGAGAAGTGGAGACTGTCTCCAAGCCTGTGCATGTAACAGTTAATAACTTCTTCTTACTGCAAAGGCAAAAAAGCTCATCACTGCATTGATCGACTTAGAATATCTAGGTTTGGGGAAGAAAAAAAAAAAAAAAAACCAAAAAACCCCCAAACCCACAAAAAAACCAACCCCCTCAAAAACCTGACTGTGATCCATTTTGTGTTCTGTGCCTCTCCTTGCTTGCTATCATTTCCTTAAAGTTTGGTCATCTTCTACCTTTGGCCTCCAGGGGCCACAGAATTTACCCCTTTCCCAATTCCCAAACCAGGAGAGAGGGGAGAGGCTAAATTGCCCTCTGCTAAATTGCTAGCATGAGCCAAAGATAAAGACTTAAGTGAAAACAATAATTCACAAAAAACTGAATGCTACCACATCTCAATTCATACATTATACAAGCACCCAGTTACACAATACAACTCCTCAGAATTACATGATAGGATAAAAATCCAATACAGCATTTAAAAAGTTACTCACTGGGCTACAATCACAATTTTGATTGTGTCCATGCAGAACAAGGGCTGATGCCGAATGCTTTCTCCAGATGAGTTTGTCAAACAAGTTATTGAGGCCAGGAATCAGTTTGAACTCTGCTATCATTTTATGAACCTGGAAAACAAGAGAAGTACATACTCATTTGCTGTAGCCTCAAATACAGATATAACGTACTCTGGTAAACAGATGGGCACAATTACGTCATCCTCTGACAACAAGAAGAGCAAATTCTTTTATCAAATAGCATGTGTTTGTGTTAACATGCACACTAACCATGGTGTATCATTAGAGTAATTTCCATTTGGTGGACATGGATAGAAAACACATTTTGGGAGAAAGCTGTCAGCCAGTGCTTCAATTAACCACTGTGCCTCTGGAAGCAGCTATGGACATTGGGAGATCACTTACAGCACATTGAAAATACATCTATACCTAACTTCCATGTATCACAAAACTAAGCTGCGAATATTCTGCTGCCAGTCATCCACTGAGCGTCCTTTGCCTTTCTAGTTCACACAGCTGAGGCTGAGGTAGTCCTCTGAAGACAACACAAACTTTGATATCATTTTTGTTCAAGTGACCTAGGCAGGAGTTCTGAGCAAAGCAGAGTCCAGCAGTAACACAACCACGCTGCAGTTCAAGCGCTGCTCCTTCAGGTTAAGGGGAAGTTGAACTTCTTTGGAGAATGCTCAGAAGAGAAGAAAATGCCAAATTACTCAGGTTTATTTATCAATCTGCCTGCCAAGATAGGACGTGGTACATCATGATGTGTTTGAAACAGACTATAGAGTTACTCATGTAAAAACGCTAATAATTTTGGTGTGAACAGCTGTTAAATCACCTTCAGTTCAAGCTTTGATACTTTTGATGTAAGCAATTTGGAAGACGAAGAATAGGAGAAATACAAAGTGGGACTCTCATCAGCTGTAGGCCTATGACAAGCAGTATCCCTTGAGATGTGGTGCAAATGAAAACCACACGATTGGGAAGCCCACCATGCAGTAAAAATTAACTGCCCAAAGCAGTAATGGACATGTTCCTTAAAATCAAGTCACCTAAACAATAACCCAGGGATGCAGAATTATTACTAGCAGTATTTCAAGCAGATCACTCCATTTTGTTCTATTTCCTCAAATACCTGAATGAATCAAAAATATTTGAAGCCGATGCTATTTTACAGGTTTTCATTCTTATTCTTGTTCACAGCATAGCTGATGGCCTTTTGCACTCCTCGTGGCTGTAGCCACCAACTTTCCCATCTATA